CGATAAGTCAAGATTTTTTTTTTTTTTTTTTTACTTAGTAACTAAACCAAACTTTGAAAATGTATCGGAGTAAAAGTATGCAATTAAGTTTGTAAATGTAGTGAAGTAAAAATGAAAGTTCTCAATAAAATGTATCAAAACCTTTGAACTTATGGACCAAGCATGAATTATATACTTAACGCTAATGAAACTTTAACAGAAAAACAAGACAATACTGTATAGGTCTGCCTTAGTATTTTAGAAAAGAATATAAAGCCCTAAATCTTGGTTCATGAGCAACAGGAAGGATAAACTGCACTACGTTTTTGAGATACTTATAAACAGCGTATTCTCAAAACCGTGAGATACCAAGTGCTGGTGAAGACAACCCCTGTGCAATCCTAACCCCTTTACAGGGGAACAGAAGATCTTGCCTATTCAGCCAGGCCAACAATTCCCTTTAACAAGACCCCTTTCAGAGACATAGACAGGTATGGAGTATTGCAGGCTAACAAAGAAGCCAAACGACCCCCATTCCAAAGAGGTGGACCCGTTCGTTTGTTTCAATTTGCATGTTTTCTAAGCCAAAACGAGGCTTTGTTGGGCTACTGTATAAAACTTCAAACTCAACGCTATTTCTCACATTTGGAATAAAAAAGCTTCTTGGATGGGAAGCGAAACGTCTTCAAACTTGGAACAAAGTCCAGTGGATTGTTTCTTTTAACTTTTTTTGGAATGCATAAGAAACCAATGTTTGCTTTGGTGGTTCAAAAGTCTTTTTGTGAATCACTAAGATTGAAGGAACTAATCTTTCCTGTTTGCTGCAGGAAAGCACTGAACCTCATATCTCCCTGAGAGTTACTTTTCTAAACCCAGAAACAAGTTTCAAAGAAAAGAAAACCAAACTGAGGGTTAGGGGTTAAATATCTTTGGGCAGCCAGAGTCTTGCATGTGTTGGACCGTTGCATAAATACCAATTTCTGGAGAAGCCCCATGCAGAAATATCAGTGCTGTCCAAGTCCAGTCATCCCAGCTGCTGCTCTCAGGAGCATCCTTTCTCCAACACTTGGATCAGATAAGCAAATCATTATTGGGCTTCTGCAGACTGAATGCGATTTCAGCTGTTTGTTTCAAAGGTCTGATGGAGCAGGGATCCATCTAAACAGCAGCTCTCTAGGACTGGACTTGGGCAGCATTGATCTAGATGATTTTGACCTCAAATGAGATTTTAAAACAGATGCAGCATCACTACCAATAACATTATGCTCTCCATAACTGAGGTCCTTAGTTAGAAGTGGAATTATGTAAATATGGTCTATTACATAAACTCAACAAAAATTCCAGGACGGCTACGTATTTGTTCCATTTCTTTAAAATATACAACCGCTTTAAGTTTCAGGTTGTTTTGAGATCATATTAAAGCTACAGTGTGTAATAATTTCAGGGATATACAATCAGAAATGTAATGTATTATACATAACTATGTTATTTATCATCATCTACGAGCTCAGTCTCTTAACCTTAATAGAAGGTGAGAAGGTTGGTGATGCGGACGTCGTGGAAGACATTTTGTCCCGTAACGCTCGCCGTACTGTTGGGGGGGAGAAGCGGTGGGGGGTAGATGTTCATGTTGCTGCGGTCTGCAGTCTGGACGTTAGATGTCGCTGAAAATTACACACTGTAGCTTTAACATATTCTGTCTGATTTTAATTTAAAATGCTTTAGAAATAGAGCTGGTTGGAGGGAATCATATTTTTGTTTTATTTGTTTTATTTATTTGTTTGTCAGTATAGCAATAAGAAATTACAGCTACAGTGTGTAATAATTTCAGGGATATACAGTCAGAAATGTAATATATTATACATAACTATGTTATTTATCATCATCTACGAGCTCAGCCTCTTAACCTTAATATTTGCGTTGCCTTAGAATTCGTTATTTATAATTACATAGGAGCGGGTCTCGCAGCCATGGAGGCAGACATCTTTGCGCTACGGCAGCGCAGAGCCAACAAACTAGCGATTGCGAGATCGCCCATTACGCTCGAAAGTAACTACGGCAAGTTGAGAGAGATGAACTGAGATGGTACTGAACACACAAACTAATGAAATACTATCTGTAAAATTATCTATGTAAACAAACCTCATCACTTGAGAAGGTAGGTGATGCGGACGTCGTGGAAGACATTTTGTCCCGTAACGCTCGCCGTACTGTTGGGGGGGAGATGTTCATGTTGCTGCGGTCTGGATGTTAGATGTCGCTGAAAATTACACACTGTAGCTTTAAATTAATTTCAATTACCGGTAAGAAATTTAATTAAAAAACAATCCACTGGACTTTGTTTCCAAATTTGAAGACATTTCGCTTCCCATCCAGGAAGCTTTTTCAATTCAAAATGTCAGAAATTAGTGATGAGTCGGAACTATACATGGGGAAAAAAACATCTAGCTTGGGTGGCCAGGCCAACAATTGCCCCTAACGACAACCTTTTCAGACCCATAAAGCAGTATCGGGTATTGCAGGCCAATAACGAACACAAACGACTCGCCATTCCTAAGGGGCGGAGTCATTGTTCTGGTTCAATTTGCATGTTTTCTAAGCCTAAACAAGTTTTTGGGCTACTTTATAATGCCTTGAACTCAACGCGAATTCTGAAATTCTGAATTGAAAAAGCTTCTTGGATGGGAAGCGAAACGTCTTAAGGGTTGAAAACAAAATCCAGTGGATTGTTTTTTAACTTGGATGAATGAGAATCTTCACCAGAAGGAAGAAAAGAAAAAAACAACATACAACACACCAACCACAACAAAAGACAGAGGATCTCATGGACATGCAGTACATGTTACTCAGAGCTTCATACAGTTGAAGCTGCAGCTTAGTATTGAGCATAAACTGTTTCCATAAACAACTGGATTTAAACACCTGTGGTGTAAAGGTGTGTTTGTGTATATCGGGCTCCTTTAGCATTTAGCATTGTGGGAAAAGCCAAGCTCAACCTGACAGAAATCTGTCTACTAAAATTTCCAAATACTTTCTCCATCAATCCATCCATATTCTGCTACTTATCCAGGATGACTGGATCTAAGGTAACCAGTCCATGAGGGAAACCCAGTTACTTCTTTTCCCAGTAATGTTCTCAAGCTTATTCTGGCAGGTTCAAGGCATTACAATGCCAAACAGATGATAAGACAGAGTCCAAATGAGGAATTATTCTAATATTATCCCATGACTGTGAAACAACTGCTTTAGAAACACACACATTTTTGTCTTGCTATACATAGTGAATGTCCTCACAATAACCCTAAGCCCCCCCCATTACCAGCATACCTAACCCTGAACTTGGCATAAAATCAATTCAGACCTTAGTTCTAAAAATAGCAGTTAGCAAAAGAGGAGATGGGGACCAGTAAAATACCCCCACTTTGGAACAAACTGTCCTCACTCTATTGAAAGAACAAGAACACACAAACACTTCTACTTCCCAGTCAAATAAATGGACACAGCATCATATTTCAACTAAAGTTGCTGCCAAACGGCATTTGGCTGTATTCTAAACTGCGACAATAAAGCTTCTTGTACGTTCCAGCAGCTCAGATTATAGAGTGCTACAGCATTTCTCATCAGGTCTATGTTGAGGAAACTACCTGATAAGAGTAGTTTCCTCAGCATCTGTGACCAAGGTCAACTATGACACTAGGACACAGTTGACCTAGTGTCAACTGACTCTAGATGACATGGTACCTTAACTAAGGCTTTATGTAACAAGGTAAAAGGTTACTGTGTTGGTGCCACGGATGTTAGCAATGTTATACCTCAGCAGTCCATTAGGTTTAGTAAAGCAAGAGGTCCCAGATGTCAAAACCAAAGTCCACTATCATAGTCTCAACCAACACCGGGAAATAGATCATAGCCCAGCAGGCCTTAGTCTACAACAACAGTTCCCTGTTCTGTTGGTCTATAAGGCATTGAAAGAGTCAGGACCTCTTGGTTTCACTACAGTGCTGTTAAGTGGTCCCTGGTCAAGAACTAGAGTGGAGGCAGCATTTAGATTCTGTGTTCATTAGCTTTAAACTGTCATTTTTTTAAATGCATTTATCATTATACTTGTCTTCAGCTTCATCCAGGACATTTCTTCTCTTAATTATTTCTGCTCCCCCTATACATATTTTTAAAACATTTGCTTGCCTTGAAGTTAAACCAGCCGTTTCAGCACTGATATTGTACCTGTTATAAATGTGGAACGTGACGTTTGATTGAAATACTTTTAATCACTTTGTGTATCATTTGTACATTTTGAATTTCTATTATATGATTTAGATTCTACAATTAAGTCAGATAAAAAGTAGATTTACACTATATGTGGTGTAAAATGTTTTTTTAATAAACTCTACATGTACCACTTACCTTGACTAATGGTTTGAGAAACAGTTAGCAGACAAAAAATTTCAATAGGTCACCTTAATGGTGCAGATTAGTAAAAGAAAATTAAAAATACTAACACATTAATAGTAACACATTTTTCTTGAAGCAGCCATAATAAAAGTCTAAAAACCAAAATACTTTGAGTAAACCAACAGTGAGGTTTTCAGACTGCTTTCAGTCTGTATGAACAGATTAATGTATTCATAATGAACCACAACCTAATACATCAGGTGGTTCTGATCCATCCTCAGTAACCATTTATAATCCTGATGTAATATGCATCTTTACCGAATTGGCTAAATGAATTGTTTTGCCAGCAGCTGGGAGAAAACGAGAGACGGGAGGAGGAAAAATCCAGCCTAATGAAAGAAGGTTTGATTATGAATCATTACTGAATAGTCCAACAGACCACAGGCATTCCTCCAGACAAAACACACTCACACTTAACTTGTCAACTTTCAGTTTTTCTGCTTTCTCTGCAGTTTTTGTCCCACATATTTCTTGCTGGCCATGTTTAAGGGACATTTCAGAGAAAAATAGATGCTTACTCCGGCTTGAACTCTGGATATCTGATGCCTCGCGCTGGGTGTGTGTGTGTGTCTAACTGGAGATGAATGGTGGGTGGCCAGGGAAGGGTTAAGTGCTGCACTCTATAAACTCTGCTTTAAGAGTCTGCAGGAAGTTAGCGGATCAGCCTTTAAATACAGTCATCTGTCTGATCCCAACAGGAGCCTGAAGCTCAGAAAGCCAAACTTCTTCCAGGCACGGCGGTGTGTCGGCATCACACTGCTTCGGACAGCATGAAGGCGCTCCTGTTCACCTGTCTGCTGGTGCTGTGGCTGACAGCAGCCTCAGCCTGGAGGTTTAAGCGGGAGTCACAGCTGAGATCCGGATCTTTACCCAACGGATACATCAGCGAGTATTTAAAATCGAGGAGACCAAGGGTGAGAAGGTTCATGTTTCCATCTGACCTTTTCTCCTTCAATAATTGATAGTTTTTCTTATAGTGTTTCTGGGCAATGGGACTTCTGAACTGTCTCTGAGTTTAAATATTTTATTAGTGTTAATGAGGGCTTTCTTGTCATTCTTTAATTTTTACAAATGACTAAAAGCAAAACTTTTAAAGTTAAAAAGTTCAGAGTTTCAAATCTGAATCATTTTATTGTTAGTCTTAGTTTATCCTGAGTGGCTGATTTCAATCATTTTAAACAACATTAATTAATTAATATAAGTATGAATCTAAATAATTTCAACATTAGATAACCTGAGATGATAATTCTAATAATTTTCAGTTGCATAATTTGAATAAAACCAAAATAAACATATTTTTCTGGACTTTGAGGTTAATCTGAACAAGCAGAGAAAACAAAACTTGGACATTCTACCAGATTTTTTGTCTTAGAGGCTAAAGAATTAAGATTTCGAAGCTCCTAAATCCTCCTGAACCAACAGCCTGGGTTTGTCTAACAGCTGCTGACTGAGCCACCCTGAACTGAACCTGATTCTGGCGGCTCATCTCTCCTCCAGGATAATGACTAATCGGATCACAGTCTCCTCCCTGACAGATACTTCATAACCAATCATATTCCTTTGGTTTTAACGCCAATCAAAACTCATCCCAAACCACACAGTTCTCCATTAGTTGTCTGAATGGACCACATCCACCATCTGGTCTGGTCTGTCCATCAGGAAACACCGCAAGGAGCAGAAAAACCCACAAAAAGCCACCAGAATTGGACATCTGAGATGAAAAACATGGATCACAGCTTCACTTTGTTATTGGCCCTTCCAACAGTTCCTAAATGCATTAAAGAATATTTTGAATTTAAAGGAATATTTTACATGTAAACAAAAAAATGAAATATAGTCCTTCATTCTGATTGGTTTGCAGAGAAAGCAATTTCATATTTTGCAGATTGTTCCCTTAAAGCTATACTGGTGAACTGGAAACCAACTGAAGCAGGATTTCATCAGAAATGAGTTGCTTCTAGTCTGTCTAGGTTTATGTGACAGATTGATGGTCCAAGTTATCCCAGGCTAGTTATTTCTGTTTCCTGTCTTCGTGCTGAGAGCTACTCACACAGGGGGGTGGAGATCCTCTCCCCTCCATAGTTCAGGAGCTTAAGATTTCTGCATTTAGCAGCAAATAAACTATCCAAACAGCTCAATGTCTCACACAGAGATAAATCTACACTGTAAACCATCAGTTACCTCATTTTGCACTGAATACATCCCTGGAAGATGGCCTTGCTAGTCCTGATTCTGCTCTTCTTTCTGAATACCAACCATAAAAACAGCCAGACTCTCCTTTGGTCTCTCATCATGGATGTCCAGGCCATGCGAGCGCCTGTAGGAGATGCTCATTTCCAGAGGAGCAGCGATGGTTTAGAGTCTTAGTGTCTGATGACTCGGCTAGGGTAGAGGGACTCTGTTCACAGCAGTTTTACTTTTCCAGGATTCAATGTTGGGAAAGGATCATTATTTCAATCAACAAACCAATCAAAATAAAAAAAAAGCAGTTTCCAAATCGTAGAGACAATCGGTTTTTGGTCTTGTTTAAAAGCTGGATCAAACGAAGGTAGAGTTGTTTTGACGCTTCAAAGCTCTGGATGCCTGATGCTTTGGTTGTTTATCTGCTCTGTTTCTGTGGCTACAAGCTAGTGAGCAGCTTGGCTTTATTTACTTTGATGAGTTCAAAAAAAAAAAGTTTTAACTGTATTTTGTCTGCAAGTTTAAACATCCATTTTCCATCACGCTTATCCCAAGCTGGGTGGCGAGGGGTGCTGGTGCTCCAGGTGTCTATTGGCAAGAGGCGTTTAAATGGGTTCTTTTAGTTACAGTTGTAATTGGTTTGCCATAGTGCAGTAATAACGAACCAGGCTCAGCATGTTTTCCTTGTAACCAACAAACCTTTTGAGTGTAACCGTTTTATATTAATTTATTTTTCATATGCAGAAGCTCTGCAGAAGCCATAACATCTTGCATGTAGTGTCTGTCTCCCCCGAAAATAATCCTGGATCGGCTTTTCCGATTGGTTGAGGCTAGGGGCTTCCAGCGGTAAAAGTTAACATCTCTGAACTCCAGCATCAAACGCTGGGCTGTGCGGACCACAGAATGTTTGGACACCAGAACGCGCTTATGTGTCGCTCCCGATGCTCGGACGCACCTCTGGACGCGTTTGTTGTGAACACACCGCAAGGCACCCACTTTCTCACTCCTGCCATTTATGTAGCATAATACACTTTAATTGGGTTTGCCACCAAATTAGAGCTGCAGCCAGCATGCAGATCCATAAATGCAAGCTTGACTTTAATGATTAGCGACGTTACGTAAGCGTATTGCATTAACCAAAGAAAAAACAAATCTGACATTTTATCTCATAATTATGAGATAAGATCTCATAATTATGAGATACAATCTCATAATACCAAGATACTGATCACATAATTATGAAATAACATGTTATATTTACGAGATCAGGAAGTACAGTCATGTCGGAGCTACGCTACATGAAACGTGAACAATGAGTGGGTTGTCGGATGTAATATACTTTTATTTCCTTTTAGGTTTTGCGACACTGAGAAATATTTAGTTTCCTGAATGTGGATGGAATTAGTTTCAGTTTGTCAGCATTGTGCAGGTACCTAAAGTCCTAAGAATTGTTTAGGCGAAAAGCCCACTCTGACTTGCTGGAAGTCTCATTGTTCCTACAGGAGCAATTAAACCAGCAATGGATGCTTCACGGTTATAAATAATGCATCTGAAATGCATTCCAGCTGGTTTGGGGGTTTCCCAAATGACAGTCCATCCGTACATTCTCAAAATCCCAGATCCTCAAAGAGTACAGCTGAGGCTTCAGAATCGTCTAAAACGACGTCTCTTCAGAAACCCAGGTCCCAACTTCATGCGGCATGTCCATTAATATGACAAACTAAAACCATACGGAATCTGTATTATTGGAGCTGTTGATGGATGTCTGTGTATGGTTATATGGCTGCATGCTTACTTCACAAGTAGTAATCCCAGGGTTATTACTTGTAATTATGAGATAATTAGATTTTTTTTTTCTTTGTGGACTGCAATATGCTTCCGTACTATGTAGCAGTACAGTCCTATGATAATGGACTCCGGACAAGGAGCATTCTGGCAATCAAACAATGAAACCACAAAGCCACACATGTATAGGTTGGTGGATAGTGAGGATCTAAAAATAGCTTATTTAGTTAAAAAGAAAATAAAAAACGTCAAACTAAATTAATTAGAAAGAAAAAACAATGTTTAGTAAACTCACACAGGTGGTTCCTGGATCCAGCAATACATGATTGCATCTGACCATTTAATCAGCTGTGATAGCCCCTAACAACATAATGTAAAAGATTTGCATTTCCTGCTCCAGAAGCCTGCAATAATATGCAGCTCCTGTGCTGAAAAATGATTTTCTTATTCTAAATAATTCTCCTACAATTCCTAAAAATTTATAAAGTTCAACTTAAAAAATATTAATTTTTCAATGTCCTTACAGCAGCCTTTACTTTTTAACTTGCTGATGAATTTCATTATAACACTAGTATCAATATGTTGCATAACTACTCAGTCAGATTAGTTAGGAAACAATGATTATTATTTTTTTTTTATCCATTTATTATTCCTAGCTAAAATTGGACTAGATTACATCAGAAAGAATCGATTTCAAATCTTTTTAGAATCAGCCTTTTCTTTAGGCGTCCTGCAGGGTCAGGCTCAGGCTCCCTTACAAAGAGACATATGTCTACAACCAGAGTAAGAGCTTATTGGATGAATTGAAATAAGTTTAAGGTGGTTTCAGTAGATGCTGGACGTCACCAGGTTTAACCAAAGGTTATTTTTTCTCTGCAACCACCTCACTGATGTGACTGTGGTCCTAGTGCATCAGCACAGGAAGCTTTTAATTACCAACATTCACCTTCAGTCAGGAGCTGATAGAAGCAGCGAACCTTAGAGCCTTCCTCTGCAGGGATTCTGGGTTCAGGCTGGGTTCACTGTGAAGGATGCAGTGAGGGGCTCAGACTGGAGTAACGAATTTCAAAGTAACCAGCTGAGCTGGTCTAGGAAGAGAAAGTTGCAGCCAGCAGCGGATCCTTGCATGATGGTAAAAGTAAAAATATTTTTCACTCAAAGGTTACAGTAAAGTCCTTCAACAGCGGATTCTGGAGAATCGAGCTTTCAAGGTGATGAAAAAAAGGAAAATCCCAAATAGACGCATTTACATGCCTGTATTTAGTACAAAAAAATCGCAGTTCTGTAAATAGATTATGACTGCAAATAACGACCAACCATTAATGACTATTTTTTAATTAGCAGATAAATATTAAGGTGCTTTATAGGAGATTTGTTTGAGAATATAAATCAGGTGAAGATAAATCTGCCCCTTGAAGAGTTTTGGATAGAAAATATTTACAGAGAGTTCTTTCATTAAATGTATTTTAGAGTTGATAAAGTTCAGTTAAACTACTTATTTAATCAATTAAATCAGTTGCCAATTGTTCAGTAATAAATTAATCTGACTGATAGTTTCTGCTCTAAATTTATACCATGTTTTCTAGTCAAACAGGTTCACCTCACCTCTCAAACATGCTCACATTCAAACACCATTAATACAACTCGGGGTCAAGTGCCTTGCCCAGAGGCAGGTCGGCATGTGACAGGAGGAAGGTTTCAGATCACCAGAAGATAACTGTTCCTACTGTCCTTTTATGTTAACATGCCTTGTTTTCTCCTGCAGAGGGAGCTGCCTGCTGCTGACGAGCCAGGTGCCAGCGCTGGCCCTCCGAACGGCGGCGCCGGTAAGAGAAGCCACCCTCAGTCCTTCACATTAAGAAGTCTTGCTTTCAGGTAGGGGGTCAACCTCATTCTGACAGACTGAAGGTTCTGCAGAACAAAACGGGAGTGAACCAAGCAGAAGGGAAAAATGTTTTAAGCTCTGGCAGAAAGATCCAAGTCCATTTGAATCAATTGAAGTTAAAGGTATAGTGGAGAATTTTCACGAATTTTTGAAAATACCCACCCTCTCCGCTTTATAACCTGCTCCAGAGAGGAAACGCCTATCAAACACATTCAAGAGCATGCAAAAGGCAATTCCTCCTCATGCACGCTCTGTTTAAAAGTTACTGCCGCTCATACAAGCTTACTTTCCAAAAGAATTGCAATTTTTCCACTATCTCAGACTCACCGCAGGTAAGGGAAAATAGGGACGAGCACGCAGGACAGCCTTACGTAACCATGACCCCAGAATGATTGACAGTTAGGAGGACAGCTTATTTTGATGATCCACACGGAAACAGAACATCCTCTACTGCACCTTAAAGTCCAGCAGGTTGTGGGGGGGCTTCTGTTCCACGACTATACTAATAATCAGCCAAATGATCAGGAAGTTGCACCACAAAATGAAAACAAAAAGCCAAACTTTTCAGAGTTTGGTAGTTTGATGATCTTGATTTAAAAGAAAACATAATTGTCTAAAGTCAAGTATTTAAAGTTAATAAACTCAAACTATGGTTTGCTGTGAACCGGTTCTGATTGCTGTCTGCAGATCTGCCCACCTGCCTGATGTGCGTCTGCCTGTCTGGTTCGGTGTACTGTGAGGAGGTCTCTCCAGACATGACCACCGTCCCCCTGCTGCCAAAAGAAACCGCCTACCTGTACGCCCGCTTCAACAAGATCAAAAAGATCGGCAGAAACGACTTTGGAGACACCGGTGAGTCTTAGAAGTCCGAACACAAGGTTTGGTCAGACCTGGAGGCAGATCTGAGTCCTTCTGGTCCTTACAGATGTAGCCTCTTCATATTAAAACCTGAATTAATCCGATATTTTGTATCCAATGAGTCAGTAAAATGTCCACGCTCTGAGTTACTGTAAAATAAACAGTTGCCTGTTTGTGTCCCATTTTCTGCCAACAGTGACTCTGAAGAGAATAGATCTCACAGGAAACATGATCTCAGAGATCGATGACGCTGCTTTCTCTAAGCTGACCCTCCTGGAGGAACTCTCTCTGGCGGAGAACAGACTCGTCAAACTTCCCGCGCTTCCGACCAAGCTCGTTTCCTTCAACGCAAACCACAACATGCTCAAAACCAAGGGCGTCAAAGCCAACGCTTTCAAGGTACGTCGGTATGATAATAATATTTCATCCAACAGAATCAGAAACAAAGATGATGAAACAGCCAAAATGCTGAAGATAAACACATTAAATTTGTCTGCCAATATGTAACTGTTGATTGGTTGCTTTATTTCAGCTGCAGTGTGTCAACATTCTGCATCCTAATGACTTATTTGGTCGCTTAGATGGACCTTCAGTATCCCTGGTGTCCACACCAGAACCAGAATCTGTCGGTTAGAAAGATAAAGGATCAGAGAGGAAATCCAAACATGGAACAATTCAATAATAATAACTATTGAATCTTATCTCATTAACAACAAAAACATCTGAACATTCAAAGAGCTTCTCATGGTAACACCCACTGCCTTAAAGAACAGATAAAATATCGCAGCTTTTAGCGTTGAGCGATATAAATATTGATCCAATATCAGCACAAATCATACTTCAATCATAGTTTTGTAGTGTGGAAAAATAGCTATGGTTTGATAGAGTGATATTACTAACAGAGTACAATAGTCAACAACAATAGGTATGAGGAATAACTGCCACATTTATTGTTAACCAAATGTTCTATCATTGAATAAAATTAAGACACAAAAAACTTCAACAGTCAGCTGCAATATCTGTTTTGTTTTTAACAAACAGTCAACAAGTAAATAAAACAAATCTCTCCTAACCTTGCAGCTTAGCTTCTGCTACCTTGTATATAATAATTAGAAATGTAGAAGCACTGTTTCACTCATTGGCTCACATTGGAGATTTGTTTTGCAGGCCAAAAAAGTTAAATGCCTGCTTCTGTGGGAGGTTTCTTCCAGTTATAAGGGAGTTTTTCCTCTCCACTGTTGCTACAAGCATGCTTAGTGTGAGGGATTGCATTGGCGTCAATGAGTCGATGCAATCAACTGGTTTTCCTTAGATAGAAAACTGAATCAGTTTGACGATGATCTGGTGAACTGTAAAGTGCCTTGAGATGACACGTATTGTGAATTGGCGCTATAGAAATAAACTGAATTCAATAATAAGCAGTCTGGTGTTAAGGGCCCTGCCCAGGGACCCAGTGTGTCAGTCTGTGGTAGTGGGGCTTCAACTCAGAACCTCTGAATTCCAAGCGTAATGCTCTAACCACTAAACTTGTTTTTCAGCTGATATCAGACTGATATCAGGACATGCATACTTGTAAACAGGCTTTAAATCCAACAGGAGGGGAAAAGCTTCATTACATCGTTTTTTTTAACACAAATGTTTTCATGACAGAAACTGACCAAACTGGCCAACCTGTACCTGGCCCACAACCAGCTGGAGGCCGTCCCATTCATCCCAGAGACCGTCCGGATCCTTCACCTCCAGGTATGGAAACATTAAACAGAAATACAGAACAAAAGTTTTCCCACTGCTTTGACTTCTCCTTTTGTCTCATTACAAAAGAAGTTTGTAACTGAAAGGGAAGAAGGATGATTCGTTAGTTTCACGAGTCTTTAAACAAAACCCTAAAACAAAATGGAGCCAACTGGTTCCTATCAGAAGAAACTCCTTAGTAACCAGAGTCCAGCTGTGTGTGTACCGGAGAGGAAATTCTGGTTCAGTTTATTTAAGGGATTTAGTTCCTGTCACGGAACATAAGCAGAAGGTTTTCTCTGTGGAAAATATGCTAACAGAGAGCCAGAATACCATTTGCACTTTACCTACGAGGCCTCTAGGACTGAGGCTTCCAGATATTTCAGTTCCTGATCCATAAAATAATACCAAAGTTGACTAATGCTGTAAATGATTGGTTAAGTATCCAAATATTTCTACAAAATCCATAAACAACAGATGTAATAACATACCGGTAACAGAAAGCCTCAACAACCAATTTTGGTTGCTGAATCAGTGTAAGTGATGAATTTTAGATCTGTACCGGGCTATTGGCCGTGCTCGGTAATCAGCCAATTTTTACTTGATCGGCCACAACTAGCCGGTCATTATGAAAACTACCAATTCTAAGCGCTGGTTGTTGTTTTGATGATACGTTTTTTTATCTCTGAGCAGACGTGCATCTTTTACCCAAACTTGGTCCGTGTTTGTTTTGATCAGAGTGCCCAAATCATCCAACAACAGAGGGAAGGGGAGACAGCATTCTGACCTCAGACAGAATGATCGGGGTATCATTGTGAGAACACCGGTAGAGACATCACCATAAAACGGATGAGGGAGCCAGCTTTGCCCCCCCTCAGGTGCTAAGGAACCACAGAGTTAGATCTGAGCAGGGTACACAAGGAAGGCAGTTCAAGAGCAAAGGAGCACCTCAGAAACAGTGCTACACTGCAAAAACGATCTAGAAATAAGTAAAAATTTCTCAAAATAAACGTATTTCCCTTTAATTTGAGTAGGTAAATAAGTTGATCTGCCAATGGAATATAATGGAGTATATTTACTCTTAAAATAAGATAATTAGATAATATGCAATTTAAATAAGATAATGCAATTGTTATTTCTTATTTTAAATGTATATTGTCTTGTTCCATTGGCAAAGTGTCTCACTTGCGTCCTCAATTCAAGAAAAAAATTTCGTCTTTTAAGATATAATTACTTGGTTAGATTTAAATTTTTTGCAGCGTAGGGCAGGGGGAGGCTACAGGTGGCCGAGACAAACTAGGGTAACTGTGGAGGATTGAAGGAAAAAGGAGCACAGAGGAAGATCGGATAAGTCCCCTGGGGAAACAGTATGATGAATGCGGGGCAATAGGACAGCAGTAGTTTGCAGAAATCTACCAGTGAGAATAAGTAGAGAGCCCACTGCTACCTGAAGCTAGCCTCTGGAGGCAGACTGCTTGAGGTGGGAGGAATGATAGTGGGAGATCAGAGGGACTTGGCATGCAGAGAGCGCAGCATATCGGTTAGGAGGTAGGACCCCGAAACAGTCCTTCCAGGGCTAAATCAAAACAGCTTTCACCAAATCCACCTACAAACCTCTTAAGAGCATTCCTTATCAACAATATTTTATCTATCTTCCACTTTGATTAAAGAAAGCTAGTCTCTGCTGCCTCCTTCACTAAAACAGCAGTAAATTAATGATACTGTTTCATCTCCGATCATTTTGATGCGTAATAATACAATGTCGATGTACATGAGACAGCAGCTGAAGAGTTTATGGATTGATGCTGTGATCAGTAATCAGTAATACTGACCGGGGTATAATGAATTCATTTCTTTAAACATATCATAAATGCTTATTGTTCATTTTGACTTCTGTAGCTTATCTCACGACCAACAACTGGTTGGGCAGGGACCCCAAGAGGGTCACAACAACAACTTTGAGAATAAATGTTTTAGAAGACATAGCAGACATGCTAAAGAAGGTGGTTTCATCAAAGGAGAGCAAAATGAAGCTTTTGGGCCTATTTTTTAAAGTCCCTGAAAAAAAAAAAACATGATCCCACCATCCAGTGACGCACATTGATGGCAGGATCATCCTGTGGTACAGGAAAACTGGTTAGAGCTGATGGTAGGGGCCTCAAACAACCTGAGACTGAGGGGAGAGTTGACCTTCTAGCAGGAGAACCACCTGCGGTGATAAAGTAAGGGTTTAGGGTCAGAGCAATCCATGGGTTTGAATGGCCTAGTCAAAGTCCAAACCTGATATTTAACGACAAATCTGTGGCTAGACTTTAAAAGAGATTAAAACACGTCCTCTCCATCTGCTCTCACTGAGCAAACTGCAGAATACAAAATTAAATACCAGTTCCTACTAGGGATGGAACGGTTCACAAAATCTGCAGTTCGGTTCACGGTTTCGTGGTCACGGTTTTCGGTTCTGTTCGGTATATGTTGATTGTTAGGAAAATCTCTAATCTGACTTGTTGGTCGTGTTGCTGTTAGCATAAAGAACACAATGCTTGCACACTGTTGCACTTTTATCCACAACTTTCTTTCCGCCGCCATCGTAGGTCACTCTAAATGTAAAGTGCTGCTGGCGCGTCTTCCCACTCCTGTTCTTTCCCACTCGCCATACACACACAATTCTCCACAACAACTGATTTTTTTCTGCTATGCAGCTTCGCTTCTTCTTCTTGTTTACTACTGGTGGTTGGCTTTGGTCGCAGTACCGCAACCTTCTGCTCTGGAGTGTAAACGCTTTCTATGAGAAAAAGGAGGAGCGCATGAACCGTACGCAACACACGCGAACTGAACAGAGACAGTCGAACCGAACGGTTCGGACGGTTTTCATAAACCATTCCATCCCTAGTTCCTACAGGTCACAACTTCCTGATGTCCTGTTCATATGTTATTTTGTTACGGGAATGTGATTCTTTGATTTCTTTATCTTGTTTTAGGAAAACAACATCACTGATGTCAACACGGACACCTTCTGCAAGTCCGACAACTCCTACTATCTACGCCCAAGCCTCTCCGAGGTCCGTATGGACGGGAACCCGGTCGTGCTCTCCAAGTACCCAGACAGCTTCACCTGCATGAACGTACTGCCTGTGGGACGGTACCGCTGAAGAAGACACAGGAGCAACACCACAAAGACTAACTATAGAGCCTCTTCAGCAGAACAGAACCTTTTCCACAAGCAAACCAGACCTGGTTCTCTTAACGCGGAGAAATGGGTCTACCCACATCCCAACGGTCCGGTCGGTCTCCATCTGGACTTTCTGTCTAATATATCGGACCAACAAAACGTTTGAGTCTTATTAACATAGAGACGTTAGGCAAATAGAAAAACGTTTGTTTTACAAGAAGAAAAATTATTCTGTATGGTTCCAATCTTTAAATGATGAACATTTCCTGCTAATCATAAGATCACTTCCATCCATTCATGGCTCTTTTATTACCTCTTAGATATACCCAGAGGTCCAGGTAACATAAGCGTTTTCTCCTCCAAATGAAAGTAAAATCTATATTTTTATTGTTACTTACCAGAGAGATCTGCTCCGTTTTAACCCCTGATATATGAGCTGCAGTGATCAAACATCCGACGCGACTGCATGGCCTGTAGATGATGGTGATGATCATGATGATGGCTGTGTGGTGTTTTCTAACTTAACTTCAGTTTGTTTCTAATTTATAGAGTCCAGTCCAGGTGAGCTGGAGAACATGTATCTATGAGCTTTAGGAATGTGAAAGTTACTCTCTTGTTTCTTCTTTTCCAGCTAATTAAACCTGTTTTATGATAACTGATGTGAATAAGATAAGTGGAGGTGTACAGAAGGAGGTATAATATTTGATATGTTAATAAACTGTTTTTAATTACAACATGTTTGGATTATTCATCACAGTACTTTCCTCTAATGACAGGGCTCTTCCCAGTGAGTTTTGACAGATAAGGCATCCTAGTGCACGGCCAGGGCATCGTCATTTTTACTATCCATACCAGAAGTTTACACTAGAAGTTCTCCAGAATTTTTAAATATTCATTGTGTAATTCTTTCACTCACTTTAGGTAATTCAAACTTTTAATTTATTTAATTTCCAGCTTTTTGACACCAACCTACTGTCAGAGAGATGGATGGATGCTTAAGCCTAATATAATACCCTAAACTTGACATTTGTGGTTGGTAAACCTAATCCTGAGGAGTGTGGATTTAATATGATTTTATTAGATTCCATTGGGGCTGACTTAGTAAAAATAACAGCACTTGCATCACGGTATTCTTCTAACTGGTCGTTAAAATACATTTTAATGAGCGTAACTGTAGTGAAAACTGGGATTTTTAACACTTACCTGTTTATTGCACATATACATGTGAAACCTGTCTGTTAAAGGACCTGAATTCAGTGCATGAATATTTTGTCATTTTTAAAGTTATAGTTGTGCTTGTTTAAAAAAATTCTGGTGAGAAGCCAGCAAGTTGTTATTTTAATTCTGTGTTGAATTTATTGGTGGATTTTGATCAATGAGGACAGCAAGACAGCAGGAACAACACTGATTGTTAAAAATAAAAATGATGGCTGTTGAAAATGTTTTGCTTAAAGAGCGACCACATGATCCAATTCAGCTTTGTTCACCAGGTTGGTTCACTCAAACAAGGAATCTGTCTTAATCTGTAATTTTTTCTCAATGGAGATATTTCAAATTTAAAAATGTGGGAGCAGGATCCCTTCTTTATATAATCTGTTTTAGTTTAGGCCCATAACTTGGATCTGCATTGAAAAAATTTACATCTTGATAAGTCATTGGTTTTTACAATAAGTGCATTTTTTTATTGGATCGAGGAGACATTTTGCCAGTGTAACAACATGATTTACATTTAAAATAAGAAAACACATTTTCATGGTCTTATTTCAAGCGTATGTTATCTAATTATCTTATTTTAAGAGTAAAAATACTCATTCCATTGGCAAACTATCTCATTTACCTACTCAAATTAAGGGTAAATACACTTAATTTAAGGAATATTTACTTATTTCTAGATCGTTTTTTCAGTGTAGGTTTGTAAAAAAAATTCAACTTATACTTAAACTTTTCACTGGAAAAAATT